TGTTATTCATAATAACATTAAGGTAGTTATTTATCCATAAGTTTGTGATTTAATAATTATTGATACTTATGTAGATAAAGCTTATGGAACTATATATCCCTTACAAAGGAATTGTATTGGGATATAATTATGAGACCCTTATGCATCAAAGCATTATTCTTAAAAGTTCCTAATCAATATATTATTGAGACAAGGCATTAATAATGCTCAAAGATCGACACATGTTATGTTCCTTACTTGTGAAGTAAGAAACCGCTATCATAAGTTGAAGTATAGAGATACTTGAGATTAGCATATGGGTGCTTGCCTTGGAAGAGTAAGTTCACTAAACATGACATACCATGAGAAGTATATTTGGTACCTCACTCAAGTATCTATGCAATGCTTCTCATGTGTTAGTCGTATAACTACCCCCTAGACTTAAGACACCAGATTATCTTGTGTGTGGAGTACTATGCTTTGATTTCATTTTTACAAGTGCCTAACCAATGATGCCAAAATAGGATGCTTTCGGGTATCATATGAAGTATATGAAGGCAATTGAGTGGTCAAGATAAGAATCATCATCTTAAGTGATTTAAGAGGAAATATCTAATTAGGTCTTGGTTGACATTAGCTTAATCAAATCCTTAGTCAAGGCGATTAGGAGATTATAAAATGAGTTTTATAAGTATCCATAAAGCTAATGATGTAATTGCAAGAACAAGTATGGATGTCAATAAGAGTAGGCATTGCGTCAAGCTCTTATCATCTTAAGATATATGATGAGGGAATGAATGACATCGATAAACTATACATTGCAAGGTTGTCAAGGAATCTTTTGACTCTCATAACAATTGGGTGGCTATGATGCATTGATAATGTCAATCTTGATTTATGAAATTGAATTAATTAATTTAAAATTGAATATGATTCATTTAAATTATTTAATTAATAAAATTATAATTCAATTTCATTACCAATATATTAAGAACCTAATGGGTCACACATAAAGGTTGCAATTTGATTAAATTAAATGTGATGATTTAAGTTAGATTTGATTCAAATTTTAGGCTTTAATTAGGCATTAGTTAAATATTATAATTGTTATAATATTAAAGGACTTAGTTTGCAAACTTTAGAAGAATTATTTGGACAATTTACATCTTTTTCTTTTAAAGAATTTGCCAATCGTTATCAACTTATTTATAGTTTAATTAAACCTAAAAAAAATTAATGTGGTCAATATCTAATATTTTTATTTTATTTCTATTTAATGTTAAAATACTAAATATAAAACTATAATTCATAAAGTATAAAAAAGTTAAATACGATATACAAAATTTCGCACAATGATTAAATATATAAATAGAAAGAAAACATAAAAATAACTTTATCATTTTCAAATTTCACACAATGGTGATGAGTGATCCCCTCCTTTCTTATCCAAGCTCACAAGCTCATCAATCTATTTTGAAGAATAAAGTGTGTTTCAGTATTAAGTTATAGAAAAAAGAGTAATTAACAATAAAAAAACAAAAGAAAAGAGAGAAAGGGGTGAGGAGAAATTTAAGAATTAGAAAAAAATTGAATAGGGTTTGTAAGGTCGATTTATTTTTTTATTTGTATTAATTATTAAATAAAAAATTATTTTAAAAAAATTATTTAAAATATATATAATAAATAAAAAATTTTAAAAATTTTGGACATAGCTCCCCTAAGATACATTACCTCTTACTCTTGGTTTAATTAAGAACATGGTAACCAATTTGAAACAATTAGGGTTTTTTTTTTTATTTTTTCCTTCAAATCCCTAACCGATAATTTTTAAATATTTGAAAAGGAATAACCTAATTATGAGTAAGCAATTATTGATGCCACATCATCCGTCATATGGCATTGATGTTATCAAGATAATGCATTAACATGTTATGTCACAACTGACGTGGTATTAAAAATGACTAATTATACTATTGATTAATAAAAGTTACTCATTAATTACTAAAAGGTTATTAAATCCAAAATAAATATTAAAAAACTTATTTAAATGTAATAAAAAGATAAAGACTAAACTGACATTTTTAATATGGTTTGGAGGCTTATTTAAATATTCAATCATTCAAAATTAATATCAAAACTTTTGTTGCAACGGCAATATAATAGTCTTAGTATCAAAGCCTTTGTGCAACAACAATATATAATACGTAATAGTCCATGTACTTCTTTCATATCTTCTCCCACCCAAATGTATCTAATAATCAATACAACAATTTGGTCTCTTAAAAATACTAATTTTCCCCAAGCGCAATGCATAGGCATTCTTTTAGTAACACATTATACTTCCTCTTTTAAGTCATGTTTATTTTAAAAACTTTATCTTATTAAATAAATAACATAACTTATATAAACTCGTAGTTAGAGCAAACTTTCCAAAATTTGGTGAGAGTATTTGTGATAAAAGGTCCGTGTTCCATTTGAGATAAAAACACGAGGATTAAAAAATGAATGGTGGTTTTAAAAGTGTCCATAAAGCAATAATTTTATTTTAAATTTGGATAAAAATAGCTATTTTAGATTATTCCATCTTACCGCAAAAGTTTTAGGACTTACTTACAAAAATAGAAAAAAAAAAGGGGAAAGCAAAGGCTTTTGACTCATGATACTTATCTCAAAAGATTGCAGAGTTTTGGTTTTCTTTTGCAGAATGACATGATGGCTGTGGAAAACGACAACACAGATAGAAGCAGTGAGAAACATGTGCGAGTTGACAAAGTCGTAGCGGTGGTGACGTGTCGTGTCGGACTACAAATTGGGCAGAGGGAAGTTTGTTTGTTGCAGAGGCAGGCATCTAGTCCTGGAAGTTTCAATCTCAAAAAGCAAACCACCAAAATTGGAACAATTGACTCACCGTGCTGCTCTAAGAGAAGCAAATGTCGACCTTGAGCGTTCCGCCAGTCCCTACCTCTCCTAGAGACGATGCTATTCAGCTTTACCGTGCTTTCAAGGGTAAATTTTTCTACCTTGCTTTCTTTTCTTTTCGGTAACTGCTACGTCCTCTCTCTCTCTGTAGGCTCTAGTTGGAAGGCCTAGATTGGTCCTGCGATATACATAATGCCGCCTTTTCTTGTTTGCCCTTTTGCAGTCATCTGTTTCAAACCCCGGCTCTGATCTCATTTGGGATATTCAGGAATTAACTGTTGTAGAAAGAAGTAAACCCCGAGTCTGATTTCATTTTTCTTTTTCTTCTACAAGTCAGTCAATATTCTTATAGAGCTTCCTTTTCACTGCTAATCCCTGCTACCCAAATCAAAATTTATATGGACCGTGTTAGGAATTTGAGCAGAAATGTTGTCTATGGCTATGCTGAAAGCCGTGTGCACTATATAATTCTATTCTGCAATCGAATAACTGAATTTCACATTGTTAACAAGTGCAGCCACGGAAAGATTTTCTTCATGAAAGAATCATAAAGAGCGAATTTTCTGTTGTGATTCGGACTATAATCCACTACAAAATTTGAAAGTTGTTTTCTTAAAGAATATATATTATTAACCCAAAGACAAGAGTCAATTAAACAATTTTTAAAATGAGAAAAAAAGGAAAAGGAAACAGTAATGCAATTGCTGCTGCTGCTTTCATAGCTTGATTTGTATTGAATCTCATGTCTGGATACCAATGGATTTTCTAGAAGTGAAGGAAAAAGAAGGAAATGAAATTTGGGCTCGGCTTGCTTCATAAGAATAATTACATTTTTAAATCATTTAAATTACCTTTAGGTGTTCATCTTTTAAGAAAGTCTCGGAAGTGCTCTTGGTTTATGCATCCTCACTCATATGCTCCATGTAGAAACCTCGATGGACTTATTCTTTCTGCTTCACCTTGTGAAACGGATTACTTGAAAACAAATGTATTCTTTCACTTTGAACCTTCACTCCAATAAAACATGTGTTTTTCCTTCTTTGTGGATCAATTCAGTAAATGAGCAGCATATCATTCGAACAAAGACTCTTTGACTCTACTTGTACCTAGAATCTGACTGCAGCTTCCCTTCTATTACGTGATTCTAATCTGATGTATGCCAAAAACAAGAAGCGAAACTCCTTTGCCAAAATGACCTCTGATAGCACAATGCAAAGATCTACTTGAAGTGCATTACGCAGGTAATTATTAAAATAGTAAATAAAAGAAAGAACCAATTTTTAATGTGATTGGTGGAAATTTGCATCTATCAACAAGTGAGATGGATAATGCTCTGTGACTGTAGAAAAGGAAAGAAGAAACACCAAAATTCACAAGGTTGGAAAAGGTGCCTCTTTCAGTGTTTCTGATGTCCCAAGTTGCGGAGCAATTCCCTATGCTGTGCTTTTCTTTATCCACTTTGTCTAGCACTCGTATGCATCTATTCCTCAACCCCTGGTTTCATCCTACCTCTACCCTTGTAGAGTTCCCTAACTAATATTCTTGTTCATTGTTTTTGCTAGATCACTCTAATCACCCAAAATCTATTTTGGAAGTTGCATGTTGCGTCGATACGTCCCTCCACCCCTTCCTTCCCTCTTTTCCCTCCCTTAGTCTTTTGATTTTTATGTAAAAAATTTGCAATATGTATGTTGCATGTATGTGTATGAGCAATGTTTTACCCTTCATTCAACAATGTGTTGCTAACAAAGGTTGGTGTTTATTCTGTTCAAACTTTACTGCAGACTAGTATTGCATGCTGCCTTAACCATAACCTGGCTCCCGTTACATAAAATAAAATTGTTCTTTTGATTTTCAAGATAAAAATTGAAGCTGTTCTAAGTTAAACTTCAACTACTTTACCTGCTAAATTCTTCTTTGTTGTCAGGTTTCTTTGCCGCTAGCATTTTTTCTTTTCTTGTGTTTTTTTTTTTATGTAGATTACTATTAAATGGCTCCCTGTCTAACAAAATCAAAGCATGCTCTTCATTTTCAGGAACAAACAATTAATTTGTCAGATGTTAAATGTCAGAAACGGAGATTTTATCGCAAAGAAATTTTGATAGTCCTCTGCAAAGTTTCTTGTGTTGGCAGGCTGCATTGCACTTGTGTGTTACTGTTCATTCATAGAACCGTAAATTTGAGTTTTAGAAAGTATTATTTCTAGTTGAATTCTTACTCTAGCCACTCATATATTACACTTTTATAGGTTTCTTTTATCTTTATAATTGTTTGTGCAGTTGTGACTTCTAAGTTAATGAAAAGACTTAGAAATCTATTGATTTTAAGCATGCAAGCTGTATGATCTATCTTATGCATGAGATGAACATGTTGATTGCTTGAAGAGCCTTTTATATCTTATTTTGGAGTTATTTTGTCTTTTATGGCCTGTTTAATTTGCTCTCTGTGTTATGTCGCACAGAAATTTTTGTTAGAATGCATTAAGTTTCTTAATTGAGCCAACAAATGGTTTGAGTTCTTATGGAGAACTTCCAAGTTGTGGTATCACTTACCTAGTCACTTTTGCTTGTTGGAAGCATTATTTGTGACTATAGGATCAAGATTTCACATTAATATGTAATATGTAAAAATTCTATGCTGAAAAGCTTAAAATAATATTTCTTTTACATTTTTTCCTGTTTGTCTTTTCCCTCTAGGGCTAGGATGTGATACTGCAGCAGTTGTCAATATTCTTGCCCATAGGGATGCAATGCAGCGTTCTTTCATTCAACAAGAGTATAGAGCTATGTATTCTGATGACCTTTCCAAACGCCTGGTGTCGGAGCTCAGTGGAAAATTAGAGGTACCTATCTTTTTATGTCTTCTCCGCTATTTTGGTTTTTACAGAGTTTCCATTTATTGATCATATAAATACTATGAGTAAAACCTTTTATTACCTATTTTAAACTCTAAGAAAAGTAAGTATTTGTGTGTGCACATGCACATGTTGAATTTCATGTTTTATCCTGTCTTTCATTTTTCAGACTGCTGTCTTGCTATGGATGCATGATCCTGCAGGACGTGATGCAATAGTCATTAGGCAGGCCCTTTTGGCAGATGTAACAAACCTTAATGCTGCCACTGAAGTTATATGTTCTCGCACACTATCCCAGATTCAATTAATTAAACAAAATTACCATTCAAAGTTTGGGGTTTTTCTCGAGCAAGATATTGAAGGACACACCTCCGGTGATCATAAAAAAGTACGTTTTCCAGATGAACACTTTATTATGATTCTTGTCAAATTTGGTTGATCTCGTTGGTGCTGAGCATCCTAGTTGCCCTGTTTTGTGAACATTGAAATGTATTTTACTTTAATTTTTTCACCCATGAAAAAGACAACCTTTTAATACAACTGTTTAGCATATCATGAGTTCATATCTTTCTTTGAACAAGCATTTGCTTCTTGATGCATTGCTCTTCTAGTACTTTATTACTGTTGTTTTTTATTCATGGGGAGGGTATAAAATTATCTGAAGTACCCCTCTCTCTCTCTCTTTGATTTAGGGGAAGGCGGTTTTTGAACTCAGCTCATTGAGCAGGGGATACATGCACTTCTTATTGACCCAAAAGCTGGGGTGCTTTAAGTCTCATTTCTTTTAATTTTGTTCGACTTACGCTTTCCCTTTACCAAAGAGGAGAGTAAAACCAAAAAGAACTTGGACGAAAAGGGGCATAGTGGTGCAATATGGTCCATATAGCTGACCCTACATAGTGGGAAAATACTTATTTTCTTGTTGTTACCCTCTCTAGTGTGTCAAGACTTGGGCAAAAGTCACTAACTGGGATGTGTTTGTTAAAAGGTGAAAAATTAAAATGTCCAAAGATTGGGAGTTTAGCCTGTGGTCTTGATTAGGAGAGTCTCAGTTATAGTCGAGTGTTTTTAATAAGTCAGGTATATAAAGCATGCCACAGGCAACTTCTTGTCTCTTTTTCCTTTTCTATTTGGGAAATTAAAAGCATTATTATCCCTTCTACCAACCTTTAAATACATTTCCTAGATATCGAGAAGAAATTTAAAGGCACTGATATCATGATCTAACATCCTTTTTGTAGCTTTTACTTGCATATGTAAGCACCTCCCGTTATGAAGGTCTTGAAGTTGATAGAGAGATGGCTCTGAAGGATGCAAAGGCCCTTTATAAAGCAGGGGAGAAGAAATTGGGAACTGATGAGAAAACTTTTATCCGCATATTCAGTGAAAGAAGTAGGGCACAGCTTGGAGCTATTAGTTCTGTTTATCATGACATGTATGGAGGCTCCCTAAAAAAGGTAAATTTTTTTGTCTTGCTCATCTTTTTCATTTGAATTGTTGTTGAAATGTTTAACCAAATTGAACTTTTTCAGGCAGTGAAGAGTGAAACATCTGGGAAGTTTGAGCATGGTCTCTTGACAATTTTAAAATGCTCAGAGAATCCTGCAAAGTACTTTGCTAAGGTATATGGTTTTTATTCCTCAAGATTATAGCTGTTTGTTTCCTATGCTACATTTGGTTTTAGGGATGGGATATGATGAAGTAAATATTCTTAGAGGCAGTAACTGTCTAGGGATAGAAAGTGCATCTTTCTATGTTCAATAGTTCTGTTCATTTTTTGAAACTGTAACCAGGATAACATAAGCCTTGGTCTTTGAAGATGGAGAACTAGAATACATGGTGTAACAGTGAATGTTTGTTTGTATGCGTGTGTGGATTGTAGGTGTTTAAAAAGTTTTGAAATGAAATGGGAAGTTGATATCATATTTGTATTAGCATAGGCTGGTAGTTTCTTTGTTGAATAAAATATACTTTGAAGATAATAGGATCCTTGAGAATCCATTTCACAAGATGTGCTGCTCATGTACTCTAGAATTATATCATGTTTTCTGGTGTAGTAATTGTGACAGTGGATTACGATCCTGATTCTTTCGTTCCTTTCATTTTGTTTGTTTTTCTGTACTCTCTACCCTATATTTCTCTCTCGATTGTGGATATTGTCACGTCATTGATTCCGTGTCTCAACATTTTTACCTGTAAGAAACTGAGATCAACATGCTTTTGCTGATGAGGTAATAAAAAGTTCTAAAAACCTTTGAGGAACATTTGTTTAGGGAATTATAATGCCAGTATTTATATGTTTGTTATCATAATTACATATCTGGAAACTCTAATCATACAGGTACTGCATAAGGCAATGAAAGGTCTGGGAACTGATGACACTACCCTGATTAGGGTCATTGTGACGAGGACTGAGATGGATATGCAGTATATAAAGGCTGAGTACCTGAGAAAATATAAAAAGACCTTGAATGATGCAGTTCACTCAGAAACATCAGGCCACTACAGGACCTTTCTTCTCTCTCTTCTGGGACCGAACCATTAGCATAAAGCACGTAAATAATGTTTGCATAAAGTAAGATGTACATGCTACTTTATACTTTAGAAGTTAAGCTGTGTGTAAGTAATGGAACCGAAAGGTCAATGTGTGTGAAATTATGTTTCAGTGGATCCGGTTGCTTTTGTAACGCTTGATGTATTTGTTAAATATTGGTAAAATGGAAAGTGATTGCTGACTCTATTGGCTGATGACCCACCATGTCTGGGCTTGGGCAAATGATCTGCTTATAGGCCTAGTTGGTTTAATGATAGCTTTTGTTGGATGGTTTTATCTCTAAGGTGAATCTGTATGTATGTATGGCAAGTGCCAGACCGGTTCAGTGTTGGCAGTACTGGGATTCAGCATCCATGAATTTGTTATTTATTATTATCATGTCATTCGGCAGTAGGTGGACTGTTCCAATGTAGGATAAAACAACATTACCTTGAATGAAAATATATACCACTTTTCTTGAGAATTTTAGCTGAGAAATTTTTTTTAAATTTTACAAAAAGTGTTGGTAAAATTTACAAAAGATTTCAATATTAAAAGATTTTTATTTATTTTTAAAGAAATAATAATAATAATAATAATTTAAAGAAAGGTGTAGAAACAAGGACATAGTAAAAAGAGAATAGGATTTAATCTAGATGTAATTTTTTTTTCATAAAGTGTTAAAATAATCCAATGATGAAATCTCTTTCAATAGAGTAATTGATTTTTTTGAATATTCTTGAAGTGAGAATTCTCTAAGGTTATATATATATATATAT